GGACGGAGCACGCCGGGTTCTCACCGGACCAGGCTCTCACATCACCAAGCGCGAAGCGCCGTGAGGTATTTGGCGAGTCGCATGAAGGGTGAGCTGCATCCTGCTAAGGGTGTTCGGCATCTTGTGCTTACTTCCTTGCGTACGGATGACAGCTACGTATGACTTAATTTATTTTCTGGTGCTTTCAGGGGGGGGGGGGATACAAAGATAAACCGTCTCCTGGTGGCAGGAACATCAGAAGCAATACAAAAAGAAGAAAAAAGAAGAAAAATGTGATCGGAGGAAAGTCGACCTGTCCACTCCATCTTTCAGGCAAGACCGCAGGAACACCACCATTGAAACGATCGCCCGCCACCTCAACAAGAGTTTCTGCCTTTAGTTCCCAAGCGCGTTTGATTTGCGTGCGCGCGTGGAACTCTAGGGCGTGCCCCTCTGCCTCGGTAAACACGGAAGCCAAGGTCAGCCACGGACGAACGAAGACGCGCCAGGAACACCCACACACGCAACCCAACGTCTCTGACTGAAACAAACAAAAAAAGTGGAGTCCCGGTTGTTGGGATACTGTCCCTCTTCCTGGCCACAGCCAGGCACGTCGATGACCGAAAGGCCCAAAAAAAAAAACAGTAGTAGAATCACTGCTCTGTGGTGCCCGGACCTAAATAAAAAATGCTGTGAGTTCATTGCTAGGTTATCCCGGACCCAATTTTTCTGCGGCTAGAGATGAAAAGTGGTGTGTAAAACAAGCTTCGGCACCACGACGAAAAACCGAGCGCGTCCGTCTCGCGGCCAAGAAGCAGCAGGCAGGCAGCAGACAGACAGCCGACGCCGCCGGAACACGGTTGGCGATTTCATGTGATTTGTTACCTGAAGGGTGTTGCACGGGTCATCGATGGCCGAAACATGATATAAAACTACAACTATGCTATGGTTACCTCGACTTGTAGGTCGATGGTCACAACCTGAGGGTTCTACGTCCTGTTCGCAACAAATTGACTGGTCTGTTCTATGGTTTCCTGGGGAGGTGGACGGTGGAAAAACGATTGACTATTCTATGAGTACCTGAGAGTTCAATCGACGGTCGATGTCTAAACACGAGTGACTGTCACATGAATGCCCGAGGGTTTTGCTGCACAGGTCGATGGTCGAAACACGGTCGATTCTTTCTGTGAGTACCTGAGGGTTGTTGCACAGGTCGATGGTCTTCGCCTCGGCCTTGCTGCCGTCGCTGCACCAGGACTCGCACCACAGCCACTCCTGCGGCAGCGAAAAGATGGGCACCTACCAGAAAGGAGAGAAAACGAGCAAGACAGTGCCGCACGAGCACGAGTCCCGATACAGCCAGCCATTGCAGCAAAAAAAAAAAGAGCAGGAGTCAGGTACACCATGCATGGCCGTTGCCACAAGACGACAAGCTGAGGCACACAACTCTGTTCCGAAACATATAGGGCCATTCGAATATGTAACAAAGGTCACTAGATTTCCGGACGACGTCGTACACGCCAGAGTCAACGAACAGCCGTGCCGCGACTCCGACGTGAAAGAGTGAAAGGTGTGCAGTGGCAACCACCGCCCACGGCACACATCCGATGCTTGCCGTGAACCAAGACTTGACTGGTGCGGGCTTCTTCTTGTCAAAGGGTGGGCACGAGGGCCAGGTCACTGCCGAGGCAAGTGCGCGCCTTGTAATTTTTTGGGTTCCCGCCACAACACGGAGGCACATGCGAGACGCAAAGGCAAAATAACTCCAAGCAAGAAGACATAGTACTTAGTGCTGCCGGAGGAAAAGAGAGCAAACACAAAAGCACGATCAACCTCCAAAAAAAAAGAAAAAAAGGCTTCGGCTTCAGGGTCGGGAAACCCGAGGGAGGAAGGAAACACCCAAAAGAGGCGAGACACCCACTCTCCTTGTACGTTATTACAACGACATTAGTCTATTCACCTTTGTGTCGTCAGGTTGTGAGCACATTTCGCACGAGTGCATCGCTTCGCGTGTGTTGTGATTAGAGTCCCTGGTTGTGATTAGACTATGTCTGTCTGTAGGCCGGTGCCATTGCTGCCACTACCCCTCTCCCGCCTGCACGACTACGAGCACACACACACACACACACACACCCTTGACCGATCGGGTCTTCAAATACGATCTCAAGCTACCGCACTTCCGGCGGCAAGGGGTGTTTCGTAAAACATTTCCCAGATGTTTTTGCGATTGTTAGCGCCTGCTGGTATCATGACCGATTGGGTCTCAAAAATACGATCTCGTGCTGGCGCACTTCCGGCAGCACGGGGTGTTTCGTAAAATATATATCCCAGATGTTATTGTGATTGTTAGCGCCTTCTGGCATCATCATTGACAATACCAAAGTGAAAATAAGGTTTAATAGACAAAAATAAGCCGAGTATCCATGCGAAAGCGCTGATATTAAAACATCCGTATTTTCTCCCACTCACAGTACAGATTAAGGTAAGGCTCCAACAACCCCCGTTCGACTGCTGTGGTTATATCTCGAACAGTTTATCTTTCAGTGATTGCACGTGCACACATTTGCACACATGTAATAGTCCCGGTTTCTCTCCGGGCTTGCAAATGTGAAAGCATTCCTGGTGTTTCTGTGGAAGTAGGAAAAGGCTCCGGTGCTGTGGTCCTCTGTAAAAAGGCTCCGGTGCTGTGGTTCTCTGTAATTGTGATTGACACCACCATGGAATCCCGCGCCAGAGGGCGTACAGCAGTGCGTTGCACACCATGACACGATGGGCGATATTCACAAGTTTGATTGCATACCATGATACATGCATACCACGGGCGGTATTCAGGAGCTTGTTCTCTCTTGGTGCCGATTTAACATTTCGCGCGCGCAGTGTAGAGCTCCCGTTGAATTGTTCATATTTAATCGCGGTCTACGGGGAGAGGGTGGGTACGGAATTCCGAAAAAAGCTCCCGTTCCCCATCCCGCCCCGGTGGTCTAGTTGGTATCCTCGAAACCTTCTACTAGAGGTCAGATCAGGGGTTCGAATCCCGGCGTAAGCGAGCTTTTCTTGCAAGTGAGTTTTTCTCTCGCTTCCGCTTCTGGCCTAGTGGATAGCGCTAGTTCGTGTGTACACAGAGGGAAGAGAGTGCTAAACTCTTCTCGCATTAAAAAGCGAAGGCAAAGTACCGCAGGAGGGGAGGGTAGAGAGAGGCTCTTCTGTGTGACCACGGGTTGGAGCAAACGGCACTAGTGCTGTGAGCGCTGATTTAAATGAAGTGAAGACAAAAAAAACAAAATCCCCGCACGTGTTCTTGGACGAGTCACACCCATGGTAGGGTTTCTTGCCGTTCAACCATCTGCAACCATCAGCAAGGTACACTGCTCAGTGTCTTGCCTCCTACTTGCGGATTGTCACCACCAATGGTTGCAATACTTCCCACCTACCAACACCTGTCCTACGCATCACCCCCCCTGTTGATGTCTGACGTGTGTGGTGGTTTGAAGAGAAAAAAGACGCAAAAAACGTCAGACGGTCTATTCGAGTCAAAGCCGGCGGTTTCCCGACAATGATCGCAATAATTGCTAGTCTCACATATTATATTAGAAACTTTCATAGACAGAGATGGTTTCGTCGGGTCATATTGTTGTTGCTGTTGTTGTTGTTATTGTTGTCTTTACATCAAAAAACCGTTCCGATCTCTCTCTACCCAGTACCTTCGTATGTCCGCACTGATACAACACTTGACGCGGTCGATTCCCGTGGTCACAGGTTAACTTACAGTAGAGCTCCCTGTTTAAGGCCGCATAGTGTGGAAGGTACAAACCGGCCTTAAACAGGGTACCCGGCCTTACTGGAAACGGCCCTTGTTTAAGGCCGGTACAGGCCTTATACAGGAGTATGAATTCCTCAATAAGGCCGGTACCGGCCTTATTGAGGAATAGTGCAGCGCACTCAAGGCTATGCGGGAAGCGGGCCGGTTCAAACATGTCTGAAAGCCAGCAGGGGTGTACATCACTCACTCACAGTGCCACAGCGCCGCGTTGGATGTGCACCACATGGCACTGCTACGTATGTATGTACTGAATGACGACACAGCGTGTCAAATGATGTTTGCACGTTTCCAAATGTTATTACCCGCCAATCTGTAACAACAACAGAAATTACCAAGTGCCTCCCTCTTGGTGACTACCCTACTGTACATTACTGTAACTGGTCAACATATATGTCGTGGTCCAAGTCACAAAACCAACCTAAACGACAGAAAAGCAGAGTGTCACGTGAAAATTAAAGACGTGAAAGTACGGACGGCAAGGACACCATAGAATGAAAAATATTACTCACGAAGGGTCGACAAATATGCTGCTTACGTGCTGATGCTGCTCAGTTTGAGAGGACGTAGATACGCCACAAAAACCTACAACGATCTACATGTGTTGCACATTGTTAATATTTACCCGTCCAACAACGACGGCACACAAAAAAAAAAAAACACATCTTCTGCATGCAATAGCAACGGCACACGATGGTTGAAAAAACAAGAGTGTTCCTGCATACGATCAAGGGCGACCGACCGACCAAATTGGCAGACAAGACTCTGCCGTGACAGCTGTTGAAACTGATCTACAATACCGGACCCGGGAAAGCCACTCAACTTACGCCCCCCCCCCCATGCGCCTATCGAGTTTACAAAAATTGCCTCATGTCCGTCTGCCTCCCTGGTTTCCAAGTATGTGCTGCGATCGTCGCCATCTTGGCCTTCTGCAGATGGAAAGCGGCGTCATGGTTGCCGCTTTCCTCTGCTGCCATTTCCAGAGCCCCGAAGTGCGACGACACTGCCGCGTACGGCGGTGGTGCCATACGAGCCGTGGGTTCCTCCGTCGCTTCGTCGTCCGAGCTCTCCTCCGCGAGAAGCGTGCCCTCGAGCAGCTGCGTCATCTCGTCCACCGCGTCCTGCTGCATGGCTTCCACCACATCCGGCTGGTCCTCCACCGTCGCCCACACTTCAGCCGCTCGCACAGCGGCGGCATTGGCAGGCTCTCCGACAGTGATACCCAGGGTGGCCAACAGTTCTGTCAACTCCGTGTCAACACCGCAGGACCGCTCCTGTGCTTCATGCACCCGTGAGCTCATGCTGGTGAGGGTCTCTGCGAGAAGGTCCACCGGCTCCTTGTCTGCACGCCCCTGCACTGGCCCTCCCGCAGGGCCCGCCGAGCTGCTTTGCCTCTGTTTCCCGTGCACGGTCGTCAGCGCAGCCTCCATCTCTTCCAGGAGGGTCTTGGCCTTCACGAAGCACCTGGTGGACGGGACGCGGGAAGAGCAGCGACACAAACGCAGTAGAGATTGTGAGCGTCGGGCACCAGCAACGAGGATACATTGCGGCGAACGAGTTGTCGAGCGATGTCAAATTATTTCGTATTTTCTACAGCGACACGTACATATTAGCAGCAAGCCCTGCGAAGGCACACAACTAAAAAAATGCAACACCGGGTTCTAACTTTGAAGACGGAAAAAACGGACAGCACTTGAACTATTTTGAAGCAATACCTGGCGATCGTCCTGGGGGTGATGCTGGCCCAGGCGGTCTTGAGAAGATCTGCCGCGTCCAGCACGTGGGGGTGATTTCCCTCCGCCAAGCCCTTGGTCCCAGCCACCATCTTAGGCTTCTTGGCCTCGGCGCGCAGTGCATCAGCCACGAGCATGGTTGACACCTTGACGTCGAGTAGCTCCCTCCTGTAGATCACCTTGGTGGCCGCGATGATCCCCATGTCCATGGGCTGGTGTACGCTGGTGCAGTTCGGTGGGTACGTCACCACCGTCACCTGCCCGACAGGATCCACCAGATCACCGTGCGACGAGCAGCCGTCCATGAGCAGCAGCACAGGCTCGTGGCTCCAGCGCCGAATGAAGGGTAGGAAAAGACCTCCTGCCACCACTTCTTGAAGGTCGGCCCATCACACCACGCGTTGGCTTGCGTAAAGTACTTCAGAGGGCTTTTCCGGCGCCTGAAGCAGCGCGGATTCTTGGCCGTGCCGATGATCGCCATTGGCACTTTCGCAGTGCCACTGGTATTGGCGCACATGATCGCAGATATTCGATCCTTGAACTCCATGTTCTTGCAACCTCTCGTTGTCTTCCGATCCTCGAACGCGGCGAGGTACGTCGTCCTCGCTATGAGCTTCCACTGGATGCCGGTCTCGTCGACGTTGAAGATGTTCCTCGCCGGGTACTTCTCGCAAGCGGCACGGACCTCCTCCATGCCCTCTTCGATGAGCTCGTGGTTGACGCTGCCGGCCGTCCCATGAAGTGTTCGGCTGTGGAGGTCGTTGCGCTTCACGAAGTTCTTGCCCCACTTGTCGCCAGCCTTGAAGTCCTCGAGCCTCTTCCTCACCGAATCAGTCGTCTTTGCCGAGCCCAACAGGGTGGCCTTGGCAGAGCGACCGAACGATCGGATGACGTGGCCGGTGACAGTGTACTTCGCCAGCCGAGCCTTTTCGACGAGGTCCAGAACTAGAGCATCCAACTATGCATTCAGGAGCAAGCAGCAAAGGGTTCAAATCGCGTGCACGAGTTAGAACATCACCTTTTTCAAACACGAGTCGTATCGACACACTATTGCTGTGCAACAGAACGCATGTATCACAAATTTACGCACCAGTACCAAAGTACACGCACGCACGCAAGAGAATTACATATGTAGGACAGTTGAAGTCCGGCGACCCCCGCCAAAGCTAAGATGCAGGTTAACGACAAAATATACAGGCGGGCAATCCTACGCACAAATGCATGTGAGTGTACGTGTGCTTCAATCTTAGTTGGTTTGAAATTGTGTGCGCCTTTGTTGTGTAGGTGGTGCATCAGATGCGTTTACAGCAGTCATTCGAGATGTAGCCAGCCAGTGCAAGCTGACCGCGTAATTCACGATCTCAACGTATAAAATGAGACTTTGGGGGGGGGCGCTACACACATCAAGCACTGCGGTATTTTTTTGAACATGTGCGATACGAGTGGAATATACCAAACAGCAGGCTGCGGAACAAAAGCAAACATTGAACAGAGAGCAACATGAATACCTCTGGGAAATCCCCCGCCCGAAGGTTCTTCCTGGTGGTGGCGCTGCTGCGGGTTTGGGCGGTCTGCTGCTCGATCTTAGCCCGCTCGGCCTTGACGGTGCGCACCGTTCGCTCCCCGCAGTTGAACTGCTCTGCGATCGACTTCTGCGTCCTATTTGCCCTCGTCCAGCAGGCGGAGGATCTCCATCTTGGTGCCGATGTTCAGCCGCGTGCGCGAACCTGTCATGTCAGGGTGGTTGGCTGGTTTCGTCTTTTTCGGTCCTGCTGTGCCTCCGCCCTCCGTGGCTGACCCTTTGCGCTTGCCCTTGCCAACTTTCCAGGCATCGCTGGTGGCTTGCTTTTGCTTGGAGGCAATGCATGAAACGCAGATGCGGGCGGTTTCGTACTCCCCATCTTGGTCGCGTTCCCCACACACTCCGTGCAGTCGCCCACCACACCCTCCCCGACATTCGTGGCCGTGAGGGGCTACTGGCGTCTTCTCTGGTAGAGTGCACAGCTCACCAGCCGCACAAGGCATGTATGCCCCTACTGGTTGGGTCGGTAGGGGTACGCTAGGTTGTTGTGTGTTGTGTGTGTGGAGATGTCGAGAGCTGCTGTGTTGTGGCTTGAAAATAATGCGGCCGAACCTGCGTGCGTCACCCCAAAACCGGCCTTAAATAGGGTGGGAGGAGGTTCCAACAGGTCTTAAATAGGGACCATCCCTTTTTAAGGCCTGTGCGGCCATAAATAGGGACCATTCCTTTTTAAGGCCTGTGCGGCCTTACAAAGGAAGGCATTTGGGGCAGGCGATTTCACCGGCCTTAAACAGGGCCACCGGCCTTAAATTTGCGGCCTTAAACAGGGACCTCTACTGTACCCTAAAAAGGTACACTGTAATAAACTGGCCCCGAGGGGTCCGCAAGTCAATAGAAATCAACGACAGATATTCTGGAGTCCTCCGCTCCCTCTGGGCGCTATGCGAGGTAACAACTGAGACAAGGAGTCAGCATCACGGGCCAGAGAGAAAGAGGAACACCCCCTTGGTTCAATCTTGGTGCTTCACACGCAAGCAGAGACAAGGCCATGTGACACAGAAAAAGAGAGAAAAAAGACCGACAAAGAGAAAAAAGAGAAAAAGAGAAACAAAATAAAATAAAAGGAACGAGAAAAAAAACGAAAAAGAGCGAGGACAAAAAGGAACCATGCCGAAAATAACAAGAAATAAGAAACAGAAAAAGGCACAAGGTGGAGAGACCACTACGAACAAGCAACAAGCAAACATGGCCACCAACCAGCAATACATGGAAAAGGCACGTCATCACTAGTGGGGGGTTGGTGCGATGGTGCAGCGTTGGGGGGGGGGGGGGAATGGCTAAAAAAAATTCAATCCGGCACGCATAAAAAAAAAGTCCCAACGGCTATCCCTGTTGGCCTGGTTCTGTGGTTTCCAGAATAATTACTGCTGTCCTTCCACAAGAGTTGGCCTAAAGATGAATCTTCGCGGTTTCAAGGTATTGAGCGACCTATTGAGGTGTTGGAACTACATGCCTCCTGTTTCAAACCGTGTCTGAACCAGGTGCTAGGTAGCGTATTGAGTGACACGAGCCCATCTAACTCAGGCAGTTGAAGATACAGTCCTTACCAATAGCAAGCCAATGAATGATAAGGGTCTCGCCATCCGACGCAATTTTAGGGCGTCCACACCGAAAGGCTTGCGTTCCCACAAGAGCTTCATGTACAGAACACGCTGTCTCACCTACAAAACAGTATGACATGACAACATGAAACTGATCGGAGCTTCATGGTGCCGTGAAAGGGAACACGGTATGGTATTGGCTATGTACAATGCAGGTCTCCCGCAACACTACTGCCTGTCTCCATGCAGCCCTTTAGTCTGCTTCCACTTCGAGTGAATGTTGGATGACGACTGAGCAATAGAACAACGGGCGCGTGCTTCTGATGATCCCCTACTCATCTCAACCACCGTTACGGCGAGGAGCCCGGGTGGAGGGGCAAGATTAGCGCTTAGATATCTCTTTGCTACTTGCTGTGATACTTCGAACTTCATGTTTTCGAGCAAAAATGACATCTATCTGCTGTTGTCTGCCACAAGCTGACAAAATGTGCTTGTGACGCCTCGCACACCAAGGTCAAAACAATCATCCTCTTACGAATATCTCGTCCCTAACCGTCCTTCCTTTGTCTTGGTCACTTCGTCACATGGTCCGAGGGCATCACCCCCCCCACTTTCCTTCCACTACTCTGTACTCTCCTCGTGTACCGAAACAACGGTGTGCAAAAGAACATTAAACTAACAACAAACTTCCGATCTGATGTGCTGCAAGTGGTGGTTGTCACCCATGTTTAAAAAGATATGACCTGGGAGTAGAACGCCTTGTGGAGACCTACAGACACGTACAGAGAGGACGAAATGAGTCTGATTGTTGTCCTCTGCTCGGCCGGATGGGTAACATTTTTTTCTTGCGCTTCGTCTGGTGGTGGTTTGGAAGTCCACGGAAGGACATGCACAGCAGTCGTCACAATCTACAATAGCCTGGACCTTACCGTAAGCCATTGCAGTCAGCCCTTGCGTACTACTGTGGGTAGATCAAACGATACGTATTCGGAGAGCAACCGACGACAAGGTTCCAACGCTGCCGACATTTTTCGGCACCGCCGCCACTACTCTCCAGTCGTAATCGAGCTCTGAAAATCGGTCCAGAACGTGTGATATATCATGCCACCAATGCATATATACGGTATGACAACGTAAGCAATGTCGTCGTCGACGCCAACAAGAACACAGGCTTCTCTCTCCGCGAGAAGGGGACACAGGTCGTGGGCGTGCTTTGTTAACAACTAGCGGGGGCTATTGTAGCAGTTCCCCTCTTGAGGGTTGGCAAGGAGTGACGTCAGGCCCAAAAGGGAGAGAAGGGAGAGGGTAGGGAAAGTCCGAACACCTCCCGTTCCCCATCCCCGCAGGTGGCTTTCTAAGAGTCATATCCATGGCAAGGTTTCTTGCCATCAGCAAGAAACTCCGTTCAGATCGTGTCTTGATCGTAATTTTGCATGTGCACCAACGGTTGCAACACGTCCACATCTGCCTTCCGCATACGCACGTTATTGCGTAAGCAAACATAGCATGGAATCGATAGGATCTTGGGGGGTTCGGGTAGCTTGGGCTACATGTAGGGCACTTTTCCCGTGCCTCTCTATTTCACAGATAAACTCAATATGTTCGCGTAGGCAATGAGAAGCCCATAAGCATGTAATTATGTTCAGCAAGCAAAGACATTGGACGCACTTGGAATCGGTAAAATTTCAGGGGTTGTTCAGTTATACGTAACCCTCTGCACTTCGTCGGGTCCCTTCGTTTCGTGCACTCCATCTAAACAGACATGTTGTGCTGTGGCCTGTGCGGTATGCGTGCCTTTTAGACTGCGGGGCCAACGAGAGTCTTGCTCCCTCCCTTTACTCTTGACGTTTGACATCGGCGGTGAGTGGGTATTGCTCGGTTGGCGGGTGATGGTTCCCGCGTGACGTTCTTGCACGCGATACCAAGTCTAGAAGGGGAAAAAAAAAAACGAAAGCTTGTAGGACTGGCAACGCCGACGATACGAACCCGTTCGCTTGCTGTTAGCCATAAACATACAAAACAAATGCGCTCGTCAGCAGCTTGGTCGCAAGCACCACATAGCAACCCATCACGACAGAACACACTCCCGCCGACCTTCTGACCGCGCCCGCACCAGACAAGTTGGGCATCACCGTGGCACTCACCCTGATCTGAGCGTAATTGGGGAGATCCTGGTCGAGGTTGGACAAGGAGTTCGGGTCTTGACTCAGGGAGTTGTAAATGCTCCGGAGCTGCGCTCCGCCGAGAGACGGCACGAAACATTGACAGCAGCAGCAGCAGCAGCAGCAACGGTAGCAAAGACGGCAACCACAGCAACAGCAACCGCAGCAGCAGCAGCAACAACAGCAGCAACAACAGAAGGAGCAGCAGGAGCAGCATCAGGAGCGGCATCAGGAGCAGCATCAGGAGCGGCATCAGGAGCAGCAGCAACGGTGGCAAAGGCGGTTTCAACAACAGCAACAGCAACAGCAGTAGTAGCAGCAGCAGCAGCAGCAGCAGATGCGGCAGAAGCAGCTGCGACGGTGGCAAAGGCGGCAACACAGGATTGGTCCCACACGTGCTGAGGACAAATAGAGACAAAAGTGGCAAGTGTGCATGTTTTACGTCCGCGTCCCCTTTACAGGGAGTTTCTTGCCCGTGACGGTCTCTCACACAAGAACGAAGTGGAGTCATTAAGTGGTCCAACCCCGAGCACGATATCCGGATAATTTCAGCAGCAGCGGACGCGAAGAGGTAGTTGTTTGCAACTCCCCCCCCCCTCTCCCTCTCCCGTCTATCTCCACCCCACATACACAGCTTCCGAGACAAAACGTACCGAGTCGCCGACGGCCATTCTTCGGAACGCCTTAAGGTCCACCACGTACAGTGCGGAGATGTGGTAAGGACGGCCAGCAAGGTGCGCCTGCCAGAAACCGCCTCGCCAAAACTGGTACCTAAGGGAGCGGAACAACACCAGGGGGGGGGGGTACTCATAGTCGTGCATGCCGTAGTCGTTAGGCCATTGATCTCGCATCCCTACAAAGCCGGGACGGAGCACGCCGGGTTCACACCGGACCAGGCTCTCACATCACCAAGCGCGAAGCGCCGTGAGGTATTCGGCGAGTCGCATGAAGGGTGCGCCGCATCCTGCTAAGGGTGTTCGGCATCTTGTGCTTTCTTCCTTGCGCACGAATGACAGCTGCGTATGACTTAATATATTTTCTGGTGCTTTCACTTCCAGAGACAGTGATAAGCACTGTGTAAAGGCCTCGAGGATGCTTGACCATTTTAACACAACGTGCTGCGATCATCCCCCTTGCGCGGAGTGAGGGTTCTCGACCCCGCACAACATGATCTACTCGACCACCATCATGGTTACCGCGAAAAAAAAAAACGGTAACCTTGGTTGCCGATTTCAGGAACTGAATGGGCTTGTTTTACAACGCCGGTGCCCAAGCGAGAAAAACCCATTCCTGATGGCAAACGCGGAGGGGGGGGTCTTTTTTTCCATCGTTGTTGCCAAGGGTGGAAAACCCAACCCGGTTGCCAAACCCCGGGGGGTTGGGGGGGGGGGGGGGCAGAGGCAACGTGGGCGACAAGGGCAAAGGTGTGTGAAATTCGCCCGCTGCCTGAGTCATACATGCCTGGCGCGACGCCTGGTGACACTTCTGAAACGCATCACACCACACCCGGAGAGCCGGAAAGGGTTGGTACATGAGGGAAACGTCAGTCTCACATAAAGACTGTGCCGTGCTAAATTTCTCAACGCATTAACCCCCCCAGCGAGGCAGAACATGACCTCCTTACGAATAAAAAACGCCGTCGTTGACTTTCAAATGGAATACTAATTGACTCTCCCCATCATTACTAAAAAAAAAGCACACACACACAAAAACACACACACGAAAAAAACAAATTATATACATATGTCGACCTCTCGGCAAAAAAAAGCACAGGCACGAAAGACCATCTGGGTCCGGAAAAAAAAAGCCCGCATAAATTGTGGCGCATATATCGCACCCCAGGGTCTCCTCGCGACTGGAGCAGAACGGGGTGTAGCCGTACGGCGCCCCTTGGAGGTCGAGATCCCACAGCTCCTTGAGGTCCGCCCGCACCACCTGGAAATTAACGAAATTTGTTACGCCGAGCGTTGTTCGTTCATTCGCGGTAAGAATGAAAGCGATAATGCCAAGGACCGGTGACGGCAGGACGACAAAGCGGAGAGTCCTAATTCCTTGCGTTGGGCGGAATTAATTTATTCCTTGCTTTTGGTGCGGTGAATTCCTTGCTACGCGGAGGAAGATGAAAGGTGGCGTGAATGAACCAAATACACTCGGTGTGCGGGTGTTCTAAAATAGTGATGACGAGGGATACGCGAATAGCGCACCAAATCAAAAAAAGAAAACGTCAGCAAAAAAGCCTTCGAAACAAGACACCATAAATCGGTATCTGATTCCTTCTGTTCGTAACTATTAGTTCGGGGGGAGGGGGGGGGGGGTCCATCGAGCAGAACAGGATGACAAAAAACGAAACAAAAAAACAGCAAACAAAACACGCCTATACGCAAAAAAACTCACTCCATGCGGGGGCGCAAAAACACCCAAAATCAAATCACAACAACGGTGGCGGCTAAGGGTGGGTAATGGCAGGAAGGGAAGGGGGCAGGGCCCACAAAATGGTGATCAAGGTCAAGGTGCCCTCCATGTGGAATACCGGAACACCCCCCTCCCCACTCCACCCCCCGCGACCAAGATTGACACGTAGCCTGAGGGTATGTTCCGGTATTTCCACGTGGAGGGCCCCTTGTCGAGGTGCCGTTTAGTGGAAAAAGAATTAAGTAAAACAAGGTCCCTGGACCGAGGCGCGGCACCTGATCAGCGTCGACGTAGATGACCTTGTCGACGCTCAGCGGGAAGAGTACGTCGAGGAAGAGAATCTTGTAGCCCCAGATGATGCGCTGCTTCTCGCTCTGCCGCCGCAGCCACTCCGGCCACTTGTACGTCACAAACTCCACCCGGAACCTGTTGGTGGAACAAAACAAAACAAGAAAAGCACACACATAAATACAAGTACACACACACGTCAGGAATTCAGAATCAATCACAAACGCTCTGAGCCTGTTGGGAAAAATGAAAAAAACAAACGCACGCACGCACGCACGCACCTGAAAAATTCACGAGCAATCACAAACGCCACCCACGCGCGTTTTGACACTATGTTTCTCTTCCGGTAAATCTATTCTTCGTCACGTTGTCCCCTGCTCTCCCTTGATCCTCCTCCCGCTCCGGCGCTCCGGCGCCCCCCTTGTGCTTGCCGCCGCACCCCTCAATCCATCTCCGTTGCCCTCTCCTTCCCCGAATGCCTCCCCTACTTCCTGCTCTATCGTAAAAGATCACGGCATTCAACCCCTTCCCCGCGGCGCCGATTGGACTCTTCCCACAGCATTGCGTGTGGAGGGGGGGGGGGGGGGGGGGGGGCCCAAAAAAAACTCTTTTTCAAAAAGGTTTCCAAAAAAAAAAATTTGGGTTTTAAAACCCTTCCCCCCCAATTAAAGCCCGCCCCCCCATAAAACTCCCCCCCATTTCCCCAAGGGGAAACCCCAAATAACGGGGG